CAACAGTGTACGCAACAACCTTGGGACTGAAACCCATAGGTCCACTGTTCGAAACTTCAGAAAACAGAAAACAAAATTACCAAATACTCATTGATCAAACTGATACGGCCTTCAGTGGTCCCATAGATACCGGATGGTCCCATGTCTTCTCCAAATACCGGCTCCATTTTCATCGAAGGAAACCACAGAAAGAAAAACAACGCAAAAAAGAAAGAAAATCAGAGCAGAAATTTCTCCAGAAACCTGTCCCACCGCGTGAGCATTGGAATCCAATAATCCCAACACAAAGCAAACTTCCGTGAAAAATTGACCAAAGCGTTATCAAAGTAGCTATCCGGGTACTCGCGCAACCACAACTCGTTCTTCAGAGTAAAGAGAAAAAAAAGCTTAAGTCCCGGAATAGAAGTAAATGTACGTGCTCTGTGAAAAAAAGAACCGATGACAACAAGTTTCTGTTGCTTACTTGAGTAAGAACCAAAGTCTTGGATGCTTTGGAAAATCAATGGTTTGTTAACTCCCACTCGCTGATTCTTATGTGTGGCAATACATATCACTCGACAGGGATTGTCTGCAATCCTCAGCAAACACCAAATAAAATCCCACTCTTGACTGTCATTGGTTTTTTCCAGAATCAAACCTTTATCATAGTACGTTCGAAATCCTTCCGCCACTTTATTGGTCCTCATTAATGAGTCTGGATCCGTGACCTTGTATTTCACAAAAATAGACACATCGTCAACTATTCTGCAACCCGCCACCAACATTTTCTCCACATGCAAGCCAGTCAAGAAACAGTACTCATTGTATGCACAAAGTAGGCAGGCTAGCGCCGGGCTGGTTGGTTTCCCCATGGGGATTCCAACAATCTGCTGGATCAAGGTACCAGCAGCCATCACGAAAGTATTACCCAGCTCATACATGACAAAACGCATGATCGTGCCGAATGAAATAAGGACCCAACCTTCTTCACCCTTCCATTTTGTCAATTGTACCTTCTTACCTCGCAAACAGACCACAACTCCGACAAAACCCTGACTCTTCCAGAATTCCAGCATCCATTGGAGGGACCTTAAAATAGACTGATGTGACAGGTTTGAAAACATTTCTTTAATGTCGAATGATCCACCCACCGGCGCCTCATCCATTTTCAGTCCTTTGTTGATGTTGTAGATTCGTGTCATAACCTCAGTGGTGGAACAAAGATTGAAATATAACGCATTTGTAATTCTCCACAACAGGCAGTTAACTGCCCTGGCTACCTTTCTTCCTCCGGTGTTGGAACCTTCAGAATGTGACGGATATATAGGCCGCCATCTTAACACATCCTTATGTTTAGGTAGTCCATATGCTCTCCCAAACTTGCCCTTCCTGTTCCACTTGCCAATCATACTGAACTTCCCATCATCAATACAACTTTCTACATGAAGTGAGAACATCCTCCTCCGATTCCGACACAGGTAAAAAAATCGGATTATTTAAGAACAAACTTTCCACACCATTACCATACAAGGACGGACAACACACATAGGTATCTCCTAAGTTGTGGTCCAACGGACAGCAAACCAAATCCTTCAGCCTACCAACATGCTTCTTCACCGTGCGTACCAAGAAATCAAAATCAAATAATGACGGAGATGAAGATTTACTCTGAAGAAGACAATCGTCAAGAAGGTCAGATTTCAGTAACCTGCTATGAAAGGAAGGAAACGAAACGGCGGACCGAAAAGAATCACAGACGGCTCGAAGAGCAGACGCTTCGCGTCTGAATCCCACGAAGGGGCGAAGACGCGTAAGAATTTGACTTTCTTTGCGGATAGCGCTAAATACATCAAAAGACTTCAAACCCAAGGTTTTCTCAAAGGGAATGAGCCACAACCGTGTATGAGTACTGACCATACTTAGGGACTGATGGAGAGGCCACTGGGCCGTCAATTTGAGGTTTGGCGGTTAGCATCCCAAGGGACATGGAAAGAGAGCGGTCCTGAATGTATCATCTACGTCCATATAACCACGTCACGGAGTATATCTTGCGTCTAAAGCTTTCATAATATAATATCCGATTTCGAAGCTGGGAAATTCCGCTAACGCGCCTCGATCGACACCAGAGAAAGAGGTAGGCTAGCCAAGCTATATATACGTTGGATAGGAAGAGGATTCTCTAATAAGCCCCACTTAATTGGAGACTTATGATTTATGTAATACTTGTGAATTGAAATATGAGTAAAATGTATTTAAACGTTCAAACGGATTACAAAAGTGACCACAATTAACATAACCACAGTCAGAGTATCAAACAGAAAACCCCAAGAAGCATCAAACATTTCTGACAAAATCCATGGTGCGAATTTGATATAACAAGCACTGACTCCCAGTGCAACCTCATAAAAAGCTATGAGACACGGACCTGAAGAAATTGRAACACAAGTGGTTGTTACCAAGGCAGCCCCTCGTGAACCAAGAAAGCGACCAAACACGCCTGCTACTAAACTACCGAGTAGAGGTAAGACTACAATAAGTGAATACATATTTCAGTCGAGCGAGAAAGTCAAGGAGATGGTTTCTATCTCGTCGAAGCACATTTTTAGAATTGCGCATACATGGAGGAAAGAAACTAACCGTACCAATGAGAAAGGACACGTGCCCATTGATACGCGGAAAAGAAGGGTCAGAATTAACACAAGTACAACAAAACACCCGCCTGCGTGCTGCCTGGTAAAAATTATGTATCAGATCACCGACAGACTCGTTCCTGCACCAAACAACACGTAACCTTCGAATGATCATACATTTCCATGCAGGCTCGATGTCTAAATTATCAACCACCGACACACACAACCTACGAATTGCTGCTTTACAATATCTCTCGTCAAACGTGATTCGGAATACCAACCTTTGCTTGATAAAAATACCAAACTGATGATAAACAACTCTCGACAAAATGTTTCATAATCTGTTGCGGGTCCTCTTCTTTTGGAAAAACCGAACCGCAGAGAAAGCGTATACCAACTTACGAAATTCCCACTTCTTCAACTCCCGGCAAGAAAGGGGTTAGTTCAATAACTGAATGAGACGAGGTTTGAGAGCCAAAGACCGCCGACAATAAACCACAATAGAATCAAATGAAATGACGGTGCCGCTGCCCAACCATCCTCTACAGTTTCGCAACTGATCTCTACCATAGATACTGGATACCACCGACGATCCATAACACCGTTTAAGCAATTTTCATTTGTCAAGACATTGCGTCCCACCACTAAAAACAACAGAGACTTGATTGATCGACTGATCACGACAATGATTAAGGATCCGTAAGAGACTCACGGACTCGATCCCACAAGATGCTTTGAAAGAAATTAGGGAGACAGCAGAGGTGAATGGTCTATTAGTGGTGACATTTTCATTTTTTTTTTGTCTTAATCTTTCTCGCTTACCTGGTCGACATCGCCGTGTTTTCCGAGGTTTATCTTTAGAATTTAGAGCAGGTGAGAAAAGACGGATGTAAAACCGCTTCGTGTCAGCCAAATTTTCAAGAGAACACACACACAAAGGAATTGCCACGTAATTACCCGTCCCATATCGCCGAAGCCAACAATACAACCGTTCATTCCTCCTGCCATTCTCAACCACTGTCTGATTACACACTCTATATATGTGTTCCGACCATCACGTATTTAGATCCCGACTAGTACTTCCTACATAAAAATGACAAGACCAAGGAAAAACCAACACGTAGACGAACGACCCTTTGACCTTATGTCCAGACAGCAACCACTCATTAACACCAGCAGAAAGTTTCGACGCCCAAGGAAGCAGACCATAGAAAATGAGTAGAACAACCACCACTCGGAAAAGACCATCAACCTTCTTGCTTCTCAACTGACAAAGTGAAGAAGAACGAAAATTCGTACAATACTTTGCTAATGACCAAAGGGAAGCCGCGCTCGAAAGAGATTCTATGAATCAGCTGAATTCCTCGAATCCTCCTTACTGTTGGGTTCGCACCCATCCTCAGAAATATCCTGAACTTCCGCCTTTTTCCCAAAGGCTCTTTCGACCCGCTTCTCGATGATATCCGTAATCGTTTTTGGAATAGTATTGTACTTCACGCCTTCCTTCATACAAATCTCAATTAACTCGTCCTTACGTTTGTTCCCCAGCTCTTTCTTCGCATCCTTAACGAACACTTCTCGTTCAGTCAATCGGGTACCCTCCTCTCCATCACCGGGTTTCTTCTTCCCTGTTCCTGTCTTTGCAGCCGATCCTTCCGCGTCATCCAACTTCTGCTGAAAAGCAGATTTCGGAACAGATTTGCTCGCAGCCAATTTCGCCAACTCTTCTTTGAGTTTGGCATTCTCCTGCTCAGCCTCTTGTCGTCGATTCAGCTTTTGCAGCCGAAGCTCTTTCAGAGCATTCACCTCCAATGTATGTAGTTGCATCAACTGTGAAGGATCCTCAACACGTTCTACAGGTGTTTTCCTTGGCGTAGCATCAGGTGAAATCTTCAATGTCGACGATGGTATCTTCAGCGTGGAAGTTGGGGACGTCGCCATTCTGCTCCGTTTGTTGCCAGTCTGCAGGGCTTCCTTCTTCCAATTTTCAGCTTCGAGCACTGCGTCTTCATGCTGTTGTTTCAATACTCTTAAAGCTTCCTCAAGAGATTCGACCCTTTTATTGGCCGCCGTTGCCACGTCCATCTTTGCCTTCATTTCCTCATGCTTTTGCAATATCCGAGCAAGCAACGCGTCGTCTCGCACGCCCATCTTAGTGGTAGAGGCGCCATCATTTCTAGCCATCGTGCTTTGTGCAACCTTTAAACCTTGAATCTTTTTTTCCAACACTTGGATCTTCTGCACATCTGCTTCCGAGTTCTTCTTCTGTCCGCGGAAAGCATCGCAAACAGTCTCAAACCTAGCATTCATTGCATCGTTCATTTCTTTCTCGAACACCTCCCTATCTTTTTTTTCCTTCAATCGTCGATCCTCCTCTTCCTTTTCTTTCTTCAACCTCTCTGCTTCTTGTTTCTTGCTTCCTTCGCCATAGCTTCGTCATACCATGCTTTCATAAGAGATACCTTGTCCTCCAAGGCTGCTACCCGCTGGTTGGTATTATACCAGCCACTACCTTTCCCATATTGCCCGTTAGTGCTAACTGTCGTGGTCGCCGCCGTGGAAGTGTGAGTGGAAGGTGGGGGAGGGGGAGGAGGAGGTGGAGGTGGAGGAACAGAGTTCGTAGTAGCAGGTAAGGTAAGCAAAGGAGCCTGTCCGGTAGCAACGACAGAATTGTGATTGACGTTGGTGTTAGCTTTAAGAGGACACCATCTAGCGAGGTGATTGGGGTCTCCACAATTGTAACACGTGCGCACACTACCCGATGTAGAAGCCATCGTCGACAGATACTGACAACAACGAAAAACGAAGCCACTCGAAACGTAGTTTGACCTCTACGACGGTTACTCCGCGAATCAAAGTGTGATAAGCATCAACTGACAAACGAATGACGACTGCAAAAGGTGAAACCACACAGTGTAGCATTCAGGAAACTATCGAGGGAAAACAGAATTGAAGAGGAAAAAGATAATGAGGTAAGAAGAAAAAGAAGAAGAAGAAGAAGAAGAAGAAAAGAAGAAGAAGAAGAAGAAGTAGACCAAGTACACATGGATACAAATAGGTCTCCCGAACGCGACTAAGAAATTAAACATTAAGTCCTGGCGGAG